ATTCGTTTTAACATCGTATGTGGCAAAAACGCTCATAAAAGCGACACGTCCTTTAATTTAATCACCTACATAAACGGATCACAGGCAGATACGCAACCGAAGTTTGCCTAATTAAATGGATTGTTGTAGAACTGAGATCACACGAACAGTTAAAAGGCATGATTGTGCATTCAATCTTGAGATATACAGTTCAACAATGAGAAGCTCGGCAATACTGCACTTGGCGTGTGAATACAAAAAGATGCGTCTGTGAGTCCACTTACAAGCCCATTCCCGATAACTGCTTTCAGATACCCAGCGGCAGCGTATAATCAATGCAAACGCAGCATTTGGTGCTTTGGAGACCCGCGATTACAATACTTTTTATTAGAAGGCAAATTAAAGCAAATTAAAATACAGCTAACTGAGCACAGAAATGGCAAATTATGAAAGGCGCAACAACTTCTACGTGTAACAGCTTTAAATTCATAAACACGCAACAAAATTCGTAGTAACCGTAGCAATAATGCTATTGCGGTAAACAACATAGACATAGATAGGTCAAAAAAAAAAGTAAATTAATGCATAGACGTAAATAAGTCAAAAAATGAATTAATGAACTACTGTTTGTCAAAAATACATAAACAGTTAATGTGTTGCACTTATTTCACTTCTCAATTCGCTTTCTTTCGATATTTTCGAGGTGCAGAGGTGTCTTCTTAGTGAAAAAAGAATTCTGCTCTTTCATTATTTCAGTTTTTCTGAAATCGCACACTTCGCAGGCCTTTTCACTAACCCAGCCTTACCAGTAAGCTTACACGCTTCTGCTCATCTTTTCATGCCTCTATTTTCCTGCAACAGTAACAGCAAATAACACTGATTGCGGTATCATTAAAAACCAGCTTTCTTGTGGAAGGTCGAACTTTTTCCTAAACTGGTACTTATGAAAAGAAAAAATTTGTTCCATGGCCAGACAACCGCAAGAAACCGGCAACGGTTCCAAAATAAATGAAAGCGTTATATCGCTTCCCACTTGTTCATTGTTTGTGATTTCCGTCAAATCTTTCATATAATTGTGCTGATATACAGATGAGGTTAGGAGCGTCGCAGCGCCTGTTTTACCACTCCCTACAAAAGCTAAAAGTTAAAAATAAGCTTGACAAAGCAAGCGTTCAATAATCTCGAGATATTCATTGAAAAACTCCTCATGCAGAGATGAAGAATAATTGTTGTCAACGTAGAAGTCGAGTGACTGGGCTGTGGTCAGCTTTCTTCGTTACCTTCCGACCCCCTAGTAAGTCTTCCGATTTCAACCATTTGCCGAGATCTGATTTGCGAACATATTGTGGTAAAACCTGAAAATAAAGCCATTCAGACAGTAATCTATAAACGATTAGAAGAGGCTACGGTTCGCAGCATAACATCTACCGGTACTTCATGCCATGCAGTGGTACTAGCGAGATGTCACTGCAAGAAAGCGGGGGCTCAGTTCTCACGGTATCAAAGAAAAAAGAAATCACACTCATTGCTTCACTGTAAATCCGCTGTTTTTGTGCTGCCAGTGTAACGGTGTCCAAGAAGCCCTGCACCTCATTCTGGATACCAATATTTTTAGTTAACTGTTTATTCGGGTTCTATTCAATGAACCAAATGTGACACGCTGGATCCCTGAAGCATACAGCCTTTTCAAAATCATTAAGAACGAGCAAACAACAGTTGTCACCGATTAAAAACAATTTTGAGTTGCATCAGAAGAAAGAAAAATGCCTTGGGAAATGAGGCATATGCACAGTGCAAACTCACGGAATTGGCGGTGTGACCGGAAGAGGATCAGTTCGCGGCAAGAAATATTTCGGATGGATATGACAAAGCGCGACGCCTGGATTTCGTTCGAGATGTACGATTAAATGTCGGGTTTTTGACTCAGTTAACCCGGACCATATCAAATTATCTTACTGAAAATTATTACGCAACTGAGTGTTACAAAACTCACTTTTGCATTATATATTTGCCACTACGCGCAAATCATCTCTTCCACTAACCCAAGAAACAATTTAGCAAAATTCTCACGGCTGAAATATATTTCAA